TCTCCTATGTTCCACAGAAAGATTGGTTAGCTGACAACAGCAACCCTTTCTGGCCTTAAAAATCAGTAAGAAAACCACAGCATCATGTGCTTGGCTGCCTGTAATGATAAATTAAGAACTGTGGACCTATTGATTTTGTTTTTGTAATGTCCACCGTTGCTGGTTGAAAAGGAGATTGACAATTGATACAGAAGTCAAAAAGAAATATTCATACTTTTCAAGTTAAAAAGTGCTCCAGTTGTTCTTAGGATTGTCCATTAAAGCAGCAGAACATGACTGTGGTGGTTAGCTATGTTCTGTGTGTATGTCGAATCAGTATAGCATGTAAAGCATTTTTTCAAGAACTTCACTTTCAGTCATAAAAATGCTTTTTAAGCTAACAGCTTTCTTCTGCGCAGTCGGATGTGATTTGTTGGAAGTGTATGTTGACCTGGAACCAGCAAGGAGATGACTAAGTAGGAGGAAAATGGTTTTAACACGCCTCTGCTTTGCCAAGGAATATGGAAACAATAACAGATTTGTCAAGTCCGTGGGCCAGCTAGCCTTGTAGTGATATATGATATTTCTCCATGCACGACATACTTGGTGTATTGGGTTGTTTTTTTCTAAAGCACCATTTAGGAGCTGAAATGTGAATCTTTCTTTGTCCCAGTTGCTGTCTATCACCTTCATGGGCATGCTGTTTACTGATCAAATGTATCCAGAGTAGGTGGGAGATCTTGACTTCTCTTCGTCATGCAGGCACATAATGTGGTCTTTCTTATTTGTTTTACGGTGTAATTTGATAGCCAAGACTGTGTATGTTTGGCAGTTGACAAAGCATTTTTGGTCCATGCACTAAAGCTCTGCAGTAGTCCTCCTTCCGTTTCCCCATTTTTGTTGTCCCCAAGCCACAGTATTCTCCATGCTGCCTTTCTTTATCACGCTGGGGTATGTTAACATCACTCATCATGTGCCAAGCAGTTTCTTCTCTAGGTTTCAAACAGCCTGAAGATGATTTCTGGTGTGCTTCCCTCTTTGGAAGAGAACCAACAGCTTGAAAAATGAGTATCCAATTTAATAAGAAATTAAAACCTTAGATGCCGTTTTCTTCCAATTTAAGAGCAGAATTGTGCTCTTGGGGGGTGGGGAGTAATAATCACACAGATTAAATCATAGGAACACCCTTTTTCTTAGTGGTGATATAACTGCTCACCAGTTAGTTGCTCCAAGATGTGCTGGTGACCAGGTTCAAGTTTGGCTGTTTTGAGAGTGAGTCTGAACCACTTGGTGACCTCTGTCTCTCTCCCCCTTTTGGCACTTGTAAGACTGACGTAATAAATATTTTGTTGCAACAGATATGATCTCATATCCTCTTACAAACCGCATGTAGACCAGTCACTGAGGGATGGTCCTGTTCAATGGAGAGTTGAAAGCGTGGGATAGGGCTTTAAGAAGGAAGCAATGATTTTCAAGAGAAGACTTGTTTAATAATACCTGGAGGTTCACAGTGCTGGCCATCTGTGCTCTAAAAATGAAACTTTTGCATTGCTGAATTTCTGGAGGCTTTTAGATGATCTCCTCAGCTCTCTGTTAATATAAGGAACAAAGGACACCAGCACCACCCTCTTTCACCCCCTACCCTTTTCTGTGTCTCATTACTGGTTCAGCGTTTTTGTCGTGGGTCTCATACCTCTGACCATTTTTGTGGCCCTCTTCTGGACCTGCTCGAACCCCTTGACGTCTTGTGCTAGGGATCCCAGGGCTGGACACAGTACTCCAGGTGGGGTCTCATGAAAGCGGAGTAGATGGGGAAATTTTTAATAAAATGTTAATATTTAAAGCATGAGTAGTAAGTACTTACTGTGAACAGTAAAAAATGGTGGGTCGACTTCTTGATAATGGATATTTCTGTCAGATAGAAGGCTTCATGGCCTTTTTCATGCTGTTGCTTACTTTTTCCTTTCTTGACAGTTGAAACTCTAAGCTAAATTTTTCTCTGGCATTGTCATAATGAGCCCAGAGGTCTTGGGAGAAGCTAATTCCTTTGGCTTCTCCCTACTGTATCACGCAAAATAATACCCTAATCTTTGAGCAGCATATGCTGTTTGGTTTTTATCGCTGCTCCAGCCATATGTACTGGATTGTATTTCCACCTCTGCCTTCTTGTGAAAGAATTCCAGCTGAACAGCTAATGTCTCCCTTCACTTGAGCTTGGTTTTTTCTGAGCAGTGAATTAGAGGCTCCTTACAGTTTATTACTGTTGCTTTTAGCATTATGTAACATGTACAAGGTTGTAAGTACATGATACAAGTTTGAGTAGCATGTTCCTTTATAGCTCACTTTACAGTCCTTGGCATATTCCACTTCAAAATTCTCGTAAGCAGTGTAAGTTGGCCAAAATACACACTTCATGTTAATTAAATCTCTTCAATAAAATCTAATTTTCTTCTTCCTCTAGAAGTTGGTGAGAGATTAGTACTAAAGGATAATTAGTTGGTTGATAGCATCATGTATTTGATTGGTGCAGAAACAAGATAACCGCCTCAGGTGTACGGTGAACTCCTCAGTCCTATGTGAACATTCAACATATTAAAAGTTGACAACATTATTTGAACATTTATCCTGACAAGATAATTTTATAGAAGATCAGAACTGACAAACTGAGGAAGCACTACTCTTGTTTCCTTCAGTGGGTTTGCTTCTATAAAAGTTTTACACTTCACAGAATCATAGAGTGGTTTGGGTTGGAAGGGACCTCAAAGATCATCCAGTTCCAACCCCCCTGCCACGGGCAGGGAAACCTCCCGCTATCCCAGGTTGCTCAAAGCCTCACCCAGCCTCCAGGGATGGGGCATCCACAGCTTCTCTGGGCAACATGTTCCAGTGTCTCACCACCCTCACAGTAAAGAATTTCTTCCTAATATCTAGTCTGAATCTGCCACCTTCCAGTTTAAAGCCATTTTCCATTGTCCTGTCACAATGTCCCCTGACGAAGAGTCCCTCTCTATCTTTCCTGTAGGCCCCCTTTAAGGACTAGAAGGCTGCTATAAGGTCTCCCCGGAACCTTCTCTTCTCCAGAATACACAATCCCAACTCTCCAGCCCTCAGATCTTCATGGCCCTCCTCTGGACTCACTCCAACAGACCCATGTCCTTCCTGTGCTGAGGACTCCAGAGCTGGATGCAGCACTCGCAGTGTGCTCTTATGAGAGTAGAGTAGAGTAGAGTAGAGGGGGAGAACCACCTTCCTGCTGGTCAACTGAAAGTAGTATTGAAAGATTTGCAAATTATATTGCTGGACCCAAGATTTTGTTTGAGATTATTCTTTCTAAAACATACAAAACAATTTGACTGTTACTAATACAGGGTTTTGAGGCTAAATGGTTAAGTGTCTGTTTCTTCTCCTGACCTCTTGACTGAGGCAGCAGAACTGTAGTGGGCAAGTCAGTAAAACAAAACTATCTATTTTTTTCCTCTTAAGATGAGGAAAGAAAAGTTTTTCTTTAAAGGGTAATTGAGAGCATCCTGAGAGAATAAAATGTTGAGTGTTAATGAAAAGCAAACCTACTTCATCGTATCTGATGAAGTTGCTGGCCTAGTTTTGTTTTCATTTCTGTCTGCAAATGTTTTCAAAGAGGTTTAACTTTCTCAAATTCATAAGATACTTCTGACTTACGTCTTGGTTTCTATCTTGTTCTTGTGTTTTGGCAAGAACTCTGTCACAATTTGTAGCTTCCAATAGGCATGAGAGCCATCCAAAATAGTTTCCATTTCCCACTGAGGTATGTTCTTAGAAGAACTTTTCCAATACAAATAACTGGCATTTATTACTTTTTTTTAATTGCTTAGTGTGATAGTTGCTTACATTTGCTGTTTTAATGTCTTTTCCTGTCTGTAAACTGAGAGCCCCAAAGGGCACATGCGTGCAGTCACTGAATTCAGTTTACATAGCTTGATGGATGTTTTGGGAAAAGCAGCTTGTATGTATGTGCTGTTTGTCACAGATGGTGTCCCGACAAGAAAAAAGTTGTGCTAATGCTGAAGGAAAATGAAAATAAATAAATAAAATAGCCTAAGGAAGGCCTTGGAGTTTAGCATATTTTTTTCCATCAGCTTTGGGGAAAGTGGTCAGTATGGCACATGTATGCTTGAGCTCAGCAAAGGTTCTCAAGTTGCACTACGCAGGCAACAAACAATGGGCAGGAGAAATTTCTCTGACCAATTTTGTTCCTCTGGATATTAGCAGTGTCCCAATTTTAAGTCTGATGCCTTTTTTTTGTGAGTTTTTTGTGAAACTTGGTCATGAAAGTAGGTAAAGATCTTAATTTCGTGTGTGTGTGTGTATATATGAAGTATATAACTAGCCTTTGAGAATGTAAGGAAAAACCTTGGAAGATTAAATGATTCTGAAGCTTTAAAAAAGGCAAGGTAGACAAACCATGGACATTTCACCCCTAATAATTTAACTGAGGTGGGTCATTTTTTTATTCAGATTTGGTTTGGGGGGACCAGGGAATTTTTAGAGCTCTGGTTTTGACAGCATGATTCTAGTGAAAATAGTTTTGAGTCCTGTGCCCGTATGGGAATGTAGATTTCTACTCCTTCCCCTTCCGACATACATAAATGAGGAGGGGGTTCATTTTTCACAATTTAGGATTGTTTGTGGAAGAGAAAAAACAGGACTCACACAGCACATCACTGAAAACCAAGCTGGTGTGCCTTATGGACCTGCATTTACTCTGTGTTTAAGTTCTGCCAAGGAGGGCTAAGCTGTGTGGCAAACTGTTCTTTGCACTGCTATAAATCCTAAAACATCCATAAATTTTCAATCCATGCTCTTCCCACTTTTAGTCTTCACTGGACATTGCTCAAGTCCATTGAGTAGCCTAAGATCCTGAAAGAGCTTTTCATTACCCCTTGTAAAGCTTTTCTTCTGGGTTTATTCTGCTGCCTCTTGGCTTGCAGCTGAACTAGTTGTATAACAGTCACATTAACTCTGATCCTTCCCTTTCCTTGTAGGACTCCTCAGTGGGCAGACATCTCCAACCAACACCAAACTGGAAAAGCTGGACCCCCAGCAGGTGCTGCAGCTGTGTCTCCGGTACCAAGATCATCTTCACCAGTGTGCAGAAGCAGTTGCCTTTGATCAGAATGTGCTCGTGAAGCGGATCAAAGAGGTACTGCCCGCTCCTGGTGGGGAAGGGCTCGGAGCATCGGCTTGGCCATCTGGTGCTATGAATGCAGGTGTTTGCTGTAGATGGCCGTGGGTCACTTGCAGGAGTCCACTTCGAAGTAAAACCTGTAGAGAGACTTTGTGGGTGTGCACTTGTGTGCACTTGAAGCAAAGTTTCCTGTCTTTCATTGTGGTTAGGTGGTGTGTTTATTGGTTATGCGCTATGATTCCTGGCTGTCAACAGTGGCTGTTCCTCTGGTGTGACACATACAGCAAGTAACTGTTGAAGACGTAAAAGATGACTGGAATTTTTAAAGGTAACATTCCTTATTTGGGTCTATATAGCATACATTTTATTACACCTCCTGGTTAGGCTCTAATTTAAGGAAAGAAACGGTTATCTTAACACCTTCTGTGGTTTCAGAAGGCAGTATTTCTTTCTTTCTTCAGTGGATTGGTAGAGCTAGACTTTGTTTTCAAAGCCTATAGCGTGCTGTCTCTTCTCTGATCCTTTTGGCAAAAAGATCTTCCTATTCTGTTGGTTTTACCCCTAAACCATAATTTGAAAATCACTGATCTGCTTAAATATTCAATGATACTGTCAGGGAGGAAATTAATTCCTAGGGTGAGCATCCTGCAATTGGATTGTCTTTCTCATATGTAACTACTGATGTTGGAAGCTGTAGGATTGCTGACGGATGGTTTTTTTTAAAGTCAAGACAGATTGGCATGAGAGGAGATGCCATTTGAGAGTCTTCTCTCACATACTCCCAGATGTGTAGAACTGTTGAGTGCCACATATGTTAAGAGTCCACAAGACCAAATACCTTTCAGTGTCAAAAGAAAAAATTTTGAGCAGGTGGTTAATTTTTATTCATGCAATATAAACAATGACCTTGATTCGTTGTTGCTCTATTGGCTTAGAGTTAAGAAAATCCCACATGACAAACTGGATAATAAATTTGATTCATGGGCTGTTTTGAGAAGCTGCTGTCATCATGAAGTTGTAAGTCCAAAATAATGTGGGAGCCATTAAAGAGGCCTTTTTACTTCGGTGTATCAAGATCTGAGGCCAGCTATTACACAAGATGTAAAGATATTTGCAGATGTTGGTGACTCAGATCACACAATCTCAGAAATGGTATTTAATTGCCAGCCTAATGACAGTGTACTGCATTAATCCAAGCAGATTGTAATTCTTTTGGCTATTAAAGTGTGAGAGGGAATATCAACAGGATTTAAAGTCGTGGTAGACACCACCGGTACAATCAGAGTTAGTTGGATTTGCCTTCTATAGGGCAAGTGGCAGAGTCCCTTTTAAATTAGCTATGGTCCTGTTTTCTTCCAGTACATAAGGCTTATGATTTTTTTTTCATGTAAAATCAATAAAATTATGATACTGGTATTGTCACTAACTTCTTTAACACAGACTCCTCTCTGACAAAGTGAAGGAGAAATGGGCAACTCTGTAACTCAGGCAACTGACATAGTTGGATTGGGGTTTTTTTTGGTCACAACACTTAAGCAATTTCAGATGCTTTCAATCCTTCTGCCAGATCTGGTGGGTTTTTACTGTTAATTTTCCTAATAATTTTTAAATGTTTTTCTTGCATTGGCTGTTCTGCGTGTGTGTTCTGGAGGAGCCGGGTGGGACCCACTCAACTTAAATCATTCTTTCCAAATTGTTTGGGTTCTCCTTGGTGCATTAAATCGAACCGCTGTTGACAGTTGTTGACAGCAAGGGGTGCAGCTGAACTAGAGCAGGGTATGTCTCTTGTTACAAGTGCAGACAAAGGAAATTGCATTTGGCTGCACCCATTTGTCAGCAATGATTTAGTTTCGCCATGTAGACAAAGCTTTGACCATCGGTAAAGAGTAAAAATGAAAGAAAACGAGGTGTGTTGTGAAAAGTATAATGTGTGTATGAGCTGGACAGTAAATTATTTTATCCTTATTTCAGTAGTCAATATTTCCCTTTTTCTATCTTTAATGCTGTAAGCATTGAACTGTTTTTCTTCCAATAACAGACTTACCAAGTGACCGATGCTTTTAACTTCCCTACAAAATGTTGGTGAGCTTCAGTCCCTGTTTTCCTACCATTTGCCTGGGGTATGTTCACTTTACAGACTGTAACTGACTGTACTCAGTGCAGTAATAGTTCTACAGTATAGTATGCTACAGTCATACTGCCTGCAGCGAGGATTTTTTTTAGTCTTTCCTCGACAAAACGTCCCAGGGCAAATATCTTTTGCTCATTGTCTGTCCAGAAAAAGTTTTCCTGTTTTCTGGCAAAACTCAGAAGTACTGTTGTAAATTTATCGGTCCTCGCTAACTCGTAATTGACTGTGGCGGTTTGGAAATCGGCACACAATCTGAATTAAAATGGCTCTTAACGAGGAAGAGGGTAAGCTAAGGAAAACAAAAACGTTGCATGACAGTAGTTATTGCAGATCTAAATAGAGCCATCTGTGTGTTCCCTTACTTTGGGGACCAAAACAGTCTAGCTTTGCTCTCCATCTCATTTTCCAGTTCAGCAAGAATCTCTTTGCAGTGTGTTGTCTGGATCTGTATCTGCTCCTAAACGAAGAGCCATTGCGGCTTCCAGGTTGCTGTGACTATTCTCTTTCAAGAAGAAATACATTTACCCAAGTGTTTCCTTGAAGGGGAAAGAATTGAAGATGTGATTGAAGGTAGTTGACTCAACTCTCTTCAGCACTTACACTTACTTGTACCTGAACTGTTGGTTTTGTAAGGACTGATTTTTATCACAATAGGCTTTGTCTTCACTGCCAAAAAAAAAAAAAAAAAAGGCTGTACTTGTATCTTTTTAGGGAAAAATAACCACTATGCATTAAATATTATGTTACATATTAATTTTTGGCAGCTGATTCACCATCTGTTGCAAATACTGCATTAATTCCAGGACCACTGAAATATTTAGGATTCTTTTTAATTTTTTCTCTTTATCAGTTTGAAAAACAACAGAACAGCAATTTGGGATTTATGTTATGTCTTAATCCAGGGTTATGGCATCTCACAAAATTTGATAGTTGAAAGCCTGTATGCAGCATTTTCTGGGTAATTTGTCTACTCTTTAGTATTTTGTAGGATGAAAATTTTTAACTTACTGGATGAATCACCATGTTATTGACTTCTGGAGGCATTCTCTTCAGTTGGGTCTGGGAATGGGATCTAGTCTGTCTACTGATGATATGTTGGACCCATGTAAGCTTGTTATGTATGTATGCTAGGAAAAAGGTGCCTTTTTAAAACCCATTAGATAATGTGTTATAAAATGGTAAGATATAAAAGGCAATTATAGCTAGTTAACAGGTTAAATTGATCTTACTGCGCCTTGGAGCTTTTACCAAATGTGCTTAATGATGGGGATAAGAGTTGACCGTGCACCTAACAGAGACTGTAATACTTTAGGCTAAAAGTTGCAGGGATGAACCATGATGTGCTAAGCCAGGATAAAACAATCTCTGTCTGTGTATTCTTGGGTGTTGTATATATAAATTAAAAAAAAAAAAACTCTGTAGTGTATTTATCTTCATGACAACAAAAAAAAGCTCAACTACACTGTTCTTCCTTTGTTTCTGTGGTGGGTCTAGTGTCTTTGATGTAGATAGAAGGTCTTAACTTGCTGCATCCCACATCTGTCTCAGCCATGATGATGCAGTACACCTGTGTTACAACTAGTTTGAAGTTTTGTGCAACTCCGGCTGCCATTGGATTTGAGACCTGCACGTGCTTTCTTTGCCAAGGTGCTCTGCCTCAGTCTCGCGACCTGTAAAATGTCTGCATTAACACAAGGTGTTCAAGAAACGTGTAGATGTGGTGCTTCGGGACATGGTTTAGTGGGTCAGGTGGTGTAGGGTTGATGGTTGGACTCGATGATCCTTGATGTCTTTTCCAACCTTAATGATTCTATGATTCTATGATGGGTTTCTGCCAAGGTTAGTCTGATGGCAAATGTTAACCAGCACTAAATATTAGGTATGACTGGGAGGAAAGAAGCAAATGAAGCAGGGAGAGGGCTACTTTACATTAAGTCCATATCATTGGAGGATGTCTCTTTTGGGTGGCAAGCAAAGAATTTGGAAAGTCATCTGACAGGGGATGGTGAATAACAAAGAATGGGAAACAAGTAGGATAGGTAAAGGCTGGGGAGCAGAACTAAATTTTCAGAAAGGGCCCATGACTTTGTGTGCCTCCAAAATTGTCTCATTTTAATGTCTTAAAGATTATTTTTCATGTGTTAGATGCTAAGCTTCTTAAAAATCACATCCTTCAAAACAGTTGAAGCTGAGTGTCCAAAAATTACTAGTCTCATTTGAAAATGTAAGCTTAGCTGCTTTCTGTGAAAGCAGAAGGGAAGCTGAAAGCCATCTGAGGTCCTTTGACAGCATTTTTTACTAGTCTTCCAATGTTGGCAAAGGGGATATGCTACTTTAACTGTGCTTGAAATGCATTAAGTAGATTATTAGGAGGGCTCTTAGACTTTGCCCTAAACCCAAATATCAGTGTAGTGTATCTGGAGCTTTTATTGCCATAGGCAACCCAGGCTGACAACAACTTTGAAAACAGAACAATTTTTACAGTACAAAACGAAATTAAAATATCTCAGTCTAAGCTGACACATACCTACAGGAAAAAGTTAACAAGTTTTCAAATTGTAAAATTTTATATTTTTAACAAATGTGATGGTGGAGTAGTTAACTTTTGTCCAGGCAGACATTAATATCAGTAATTAGTTTGCTGTATAGCAAATTAGTGTATGGCTTGTTTCATACCTGTAAATTCCTCTATGGGAATGGCTCGTTATTTTGAAGAAATATTCCAGAATAAGATGTGAATGGATTATTTTTCTTTTACCAGCTTGCTTCAAAAAGTAGTTGTAATGGGCTAGTATGTAGTTAAGATGTCCAGAAATACAGCAAGTATTTGGCAAGTAAATAATTGTTGAAGCTACATGTACACCACATCGTGTCTCCCGATACA